TTCCCAGCTTGGTGCAGGTCTACAATTTTGTTTCTGGTGTCCTTCGACAGCTCTTTGGTCTTCACCATAGTGGAGTTTGGAGTGTGACTGTTTGAGGTTGTGGACAGGTGTCTTTTATACTGATAACAAGTTCAAACAGGTGCCATTGATACAGGTAATGAGTACAGGACAGAGGAGCCTCTTAAAGAAGAAGGTACAGGTCTGTGAGAGCCAGAAAACTTGCTTGTTTGTAGGTGACCAAATACTTATTTTCCACCATAATTTGCAAATAAATTCTTTCCAAATCAGCCAATGTGATTGTCTGGATTTGTTTTTTCATTTTGTCTCTCATAGTTGAGGTCTACCTATGATGCCAATTACAGGACTCTCACATCTTTTTAAGTGGGAGAACGTGAACAATTGGTGGCTGACTAAATACTTTTTTGCCCCACTGTATTTTATATATTATATATAGATTTATATTTTTATTTTAATATTAATAGGTTTTCTACTATTTATCTTCTAAAATATATATATATTTTGTCACTTTGTTTTTTGGTTAATTAATGGATTGTGCCATTGTTTCATGTAGCGCAGCATTTTTTTCACTTCACATTATGATTGTATAATTTGCTCCACTGAGACAAGTGTTGTGTGCACTAGCGGCTACAGTATTTAATTGTAATTTTATGTTTTCCTCTCACCATACTTAGCGCTTGAGTTATTCAATTTATTTTAGGGACCACTGAAATGAATGGCGTTTTGCTTGCTGAATGTTTTTGAGCTTTGAGCTACAAAAGGCTTAGGAGTGAATGTAGCCTAGAGTCTTTAAGCAGCTGAGGGCTTCTTTGTCGAATAGTCACCATGACTAATACCTCAGAATATAGGAGACAAAACCATACCTGGACAGTAAAGCTAAACCTATTCCCAGAATGTCCAATCCCTGGCCGGACATTCACAAAATAAAGGGGCCGATTTACCAAAAACCGGAGAATGCAAAATCCGGTGTGGCTGTGCATAAAAATCAATCAGCTTCTAACTTCAGCTTGTTCAAGGAAAAAAAAAATAATCCTGGAAGTGGATTGGTTTCTATGCAGAGCTGCAACAGATTTTGCACTCTCCAGTTTTAGTAAATCACCCCTTTTGTTTTGTGAATGTTTGGCCTGTAGATCTGCAGTCCTGCACTGACAGACGTGCCCTTTGGTAATAATCTGCACATTGCCACTGATGGCTGTCAAAGTCTGCTGTGGATAGTAGCTGTTAGGACTCATTCACATTATGCGCTGTGACTAGGACCGCTTTCACACAGGGCGGACCTGTCAGTGGGGTATCTGTCTGATGATCCTCGCTGAGCAAGCGCATGACAGGTCCGTGTCCTCTCCACTTGTGCACAAGCAAACACGCACACAGCCTGCTGTCCTCTATGGGCGGTCGGATGGAAACGGACCGCCTGTCCATTTCCATCCAACTGCCATCCGATCTGATGGATGGAAGGGGAACGGATCCCCATCTGTCTCTATCTGGCAGATCAGATGTCGGCGGGTGTAAACAGACGTCCATTTACACCCGCCGCTCCATACAGGAGAATGGAGGTTCTGATCGGAATGTCCGTGTGAAAGGGGCCTTACAATTTTTCCATGCAGGGTCAACACCAGCCACAGCAAAGGAACATGGACAAAAATTGTACTCTATGTGCCCTATTCACAAAGCTGGTGTGATGTAGAAAAATAGAGAAATGCAGCTTTATTCTACAGTGCACTGGATGGCACCGCAGGTCACCAAGCTGCTGAGGGGAGACCCGAATTTAGTGTGCACGTCTAATAAAGAAAGGAAACCAGTCAACAGCATTTCAGCGCCCTGCACTGTCCCCATTCATTGCCCGGCAGAACTGAATGCAGTCTGCACATTTTAGTATGTGAGCAGTGTGAATAGGATTTAAAGACCTCAGATTCTCATAGCTGTGTTAGGGCTCATTCACACAGGAGGCTGGGGAGAAGTAAAAATAAGAAATGAACTGCAAATTGACTGCCCCCCGCACAACTGCCAAATTGGGAGCAGCCATTGTGTCCCAATTGACATGAATGGGACTGCCTGCATGCAGATGCACGAAACACCCGTGCATCCCTGTGCAGACAAAACATGGACCTCATATGGAACTTCACTTAAAGGATACGATCACCTTTTTAGGTTGGAACATGTTCCAGCAGCTGCAGCCCCCACAATGACAGTGGGCAGGGGATCTTCTCCCTGCACCCGCTGTAACAACTACAAAAATAGTACTCACATGGCTAAATCATTAACTGCACGGGTGCGCAAAATCACGTATATATACGTGATTTCGCATTTCCAGGTAGGGGGGCACGCGCGCGGCGGCCGTCAATCACAGGGCACTGATCACTGTACTGGTGTCACTGGGGATGTCTGTGACACCAAGTCAATTCCCCCGTGTCAGAATGCCTGCTGCAGTTTCGCAGAAGTCGCTGATCGTCATTACTAGTAAGAAAAAAAATCCAAGTATATATACCGCCATTTGTAAACGCTATAAATTTCACGTAAACCAATTTATTTACACATATTGGGATTTTTTTTAGCAAAGACATGTAGCAGAATACATTTTGGCCTAAATTTATAAGGAAATTTGATTTTTTTTAAATTTTTTACTGGACATGTTTTATAGCAAAAAGTCAAAAAATATTGTTTTTTTACTCAAAATTGTCGGTCTTTTTTTTATAGCACAAAAAAAAAAAAAAAAAAAAACCGCATAGGCAATCAAATACCACCGAAAGAAAGCTCCATTCATGGGGAAAAAAGAATGTAAATTCAATTTGGGTGCAGCATTGCATGACCGTGCATTTGTCAGTGAAAGTAACGCAGCGCTGTAACGCAAAAAATGGCCTGGTCAGGAAGGGTGGTAAGTCATCAAGAGGGTAAGTAGTTTCCTGTGAAGGGATGCCTACAAGTACCACTAGGCATTGCAGCTGATGACATGTAGTTCTTGATGAAGTGCAGGTGGCGCTGGTGAGAGCTCTCATAATCCACTGATTCTTCCTGCCCTTTGCTAGCTGTCTGCCCATATGAGGTACAGGAAGACAGTCTGCAGAAGCCCGCTGATCAAGGGTGCAATGCTCTGCACGCTCCTCAGAAAGAAAATTATAAATGCACTTTTTTTAACCTGCAAAAAAAATGCTCAGAAGGAGAACTTAGCCTTTACATTCTAGCTCTGTGAATGAGACCTAAGTGTGGTGGTGTCACTGCCCTGCTGCGGTGACAGATGGGACTTGTAGTACGTTCACTGATGGATCCCTCTGAATGGCTGAGACATGGCTAGAAAGAATCTGAACAGATATCAGCAGTCAGTCTCACACAGCAAAGTCATCCTATCAGATTATAAAGAAAACGTAAATCCAAAGCAATCATTGCGCCACAAGTTTTACTTGACTTTTGGATAGACTTGTGAATGGTTAGACCCCTGTTGTGCATTTACTGCTCCTCACTGTCTGTATTGATCCATCCGACTGCACGCTTGTTCCCACTGTAAATCCCTGCAACTGAGCTGCACCCTTTTTTTTAACCACCCTTTTGCTTGCAGAAACAGTAGCTGGGGCTGCTGCAAAGCTTTGCTTGAAATTATACAAACGCTTCATCTCTGCCTGTCAAATGCTCTCTGACGGAAGGATCCGAATGTGGATCGCTCTTCAGAGAGAAAAGCAGGTGAAAGCCAGCCATGTCCTTACACCTAAGGCCTTGTTTACACCCGCTTTGCTTTTTGAAGTACGATCCGTATTCAGATCGCTCTTCAGAGCCTAATAGACAGGCGGTGAGGAGGCGTATCACCTCTTTGCTGCTTGCTTTAACCCCCCTAAATACCAGACAATTGTCTGGCTGCAGTGCAGCCCCTTTCACTTAAATGGGCCGCAAGTGGTACTACCCGCCAAGCATGACAGGGGGTACAATTCCTGCCTCACAGTCACAGCATGTATACACCCTCATCCGCACAACTGTGATGTTTTACCGCCCCCTATTACAGAACCTCTGGCCTCTTTGTGGATGGAGTGGGGAAAGATTAGAGCCCCGGCCATGTGTTTACTGCTCCTGACTGCACTGCATGCTTGTTAGAAGTCTGTGACTGAACGTTCTGAAGGCAGAGAGCCAGGCAGCAGGCATTTTCAGAGAGAGGTGTTCAATGCACTGTACAGGGAGAGATTTCTTGTCCTGTCTGTCACTATAGGGCAGCCATACACATCCTGTATAGACACCTCACCCTTCTTATCCCCGCGCCCACTTAGCACCTATCTGCAGCCCGCTTTGCGCCTGCCTTTGCACCTAGTTTCATCCAGCAGCAGCCATACATTGGAGAGTTCACTTCACTCTTACCCTTCCCCTCCCCCTCAGTGTAATGCCAGCCGCCACACTCCACTGTATGCTCACATCCTGCCCAGTCTATTGCCAACCTAACCCACATAACAGGACTGCCTCTCCCCATCACTCCACACCCAGGCAACAAACCCGCCCCTTCACATGAGCTCCACACAGAACTCAACCCGCAGCTGCCAATCAATCTATGATCCAATCACAACTCTGGGTGCGGACAGGTGACGCCAACCATCCCCGCCTCTTCTCCTCCACATGAGTGGCAGCGAGCTCACCCAATAGAAATGCACACATCCGCAGTCTACCACGCCTACTAGGCCCACAGGGCGTGTTCTGTGGCAGAATCACGTTAGCTTGACTGCTCACAGCTTTATGGCCCCCAAACACCCGACAGAGAGAAATAATAAACAGGCCGAGTCCATGGCGGCCCCCCCCGTGTCCCAGTACGGTAGCTGTGCACAGCCTGCCCGCTCGCCCGCTGCTGGACCCCATAGCAGTGCTGTCAGTGTGGCAGGAGGGCGCGGTTGCAATAATGACAAAGGGAAAATTAATGTCAGCGCCACCTCCGCCCTCGTTTACTGTACAAATCCCGGGCCCGGCTGGAGGAAGGAAGCTGTGCGCAAATGTTTGCGGTGTGCAGCCCTACTCACGTTATCAATCACCACGGGCTGGTTTGCGATCACATCGTATGACTCCATGGCGGCTTCCTCCTGTCCAGGAGATGACGGGCCGGCTACAGCTGCTACTGCGCCTGCGCGGACATCTAATAGCCGGGACGGCGCTCAGCTGTCTCTGCGCATGCGTGAAGCCCGGACATGTGTGCACTTGCGCAAATTACAGCATGGGGGAGTGGACAGGATATAGATGAGAGAAGACGACTGAGACTGAGCAAGATTCCAGAAACATGGAAAGTGTGATGTCATACAGTATATAGCTATGTCCCTACCCAATGGCAGCTCCAGGCTCAGAGATCTACATTGGTCAGTCTACTCTGGATATGACTTGTAGCTACGGCTGACACCTCATCCCTTTAAAACCGAACACATTAATTACACAGGTTCTGGGGCTGCTTAAGGTGGTCATTAAACTCACTTAGTGCCTTATCTGCCTTCAGCCTCAGAACTGTGTAATTAATGTGTTCGGGTTTAAATGGATGAGGTGGCAACACTATTTGTAGCTCTCCACTGGTACATTCTATTGATCTGGCAGATACAGTCAAAAATCAAAATTTATCTATGGCTTCCAAACTGCAGCCAGTGAGAGTAACATTCCTGCCATTACCCCCAATGATGGGGCACTGTTCTTCCCACTGGCATCAACGGTGGGGCACTGTTATTCCCACTGACATCAACGATGGGGCACTGTTCCTCCCACTGACCCCATCATAGGGCGGTATTCCTCCCACTGACCCCATCACAGGGCGGTATTCCTCCCACTGACCCCAATGATAGGGCGGTATTCCTCCCACTGACCCCAATGATAGGGCGGGTATTCCTCCCACTGACCCCATCATAGGGCGGTATTCCTCTCACTGACCCCAATCATAGGGTGGTATTCCTCCCACTGACATCAATGATGGGGCACTGTTCCTCCCACTGACATCAACGATGGGGCGTTATTCCTCCCACTGACCCCAATGATAGGGCGGTATTCCTCCCACTGACCCCATCATAGGGCGGTATTCCTCCCACTGACTCCAATCATAGGGTGGTATTCCTCCCACTGACATCAATGATGGGGCACTGTTCTTCCCACTGACATCAACGATGGGGTGGTATTCCTCCCACTGACCCAATGATAGGGCGGTATTCCTCCCACTGACCCCAATCATAGGGCGGTATTCCTCCCATTGACCCCAATCATAGGGCGGTATTCCTCCCACTGACATCAATGATGGGGCACTGTTCCTCCCACTGACATCAACGATGGGGCATTATTCCTCCCACTGACCCAATGATAGGGTGGTATTCCTCCCACTGACCCCAATCATAGGGTGTTATTCCTCCCACTTTCATCAACGATGGGGCACTGTTCTTCCCACTGACATCAACGATGGGGCACTGTTCCCCCACTGACATCAACGATGGGGCGTTATTCCTCCCACTGACCCCAATCATAGGGTGGTATTCCTCCCACTGACCCCAACCATAGGGTGGTATTCCTCCCACTGACCCCAATCATAGGGCAGTATTCCTCCCACTGACATCAACGATGGGACACTGTTCTTCCCACTGACATCAATGATGGGCACTATTTCCTCCTATTGACAGTAAAGATGGGGCACTATTCCTCCCACTGACATCTACGATGGGGCACTGTTCTTCCCACTGACATCAACGATGGGGTACTGTTCCTCCCACTGACATCAACGATGGGGTACTGTTCCTCCCACTGACATCAAAGATGGGGCACTGTTCTTCCCACTGACATCAACGATGGGGCACTGTTCCTCCCGCTGACATCACGATGGGGCACTGTTCTTCCCACTGACATCAACGATGGGGTACTGTTCCTCCCACTGACATCAAAGATGGGGCACTGTTCTTCCCACTGACATCAACGATGGGGTACTGTTCCTCCCACTGACATCAACGATGGGGTACTGTTCCTCCCACTGACATCAAAGATGGGGCACTGTTCTTCCCACTGACATCAACGATGGGGCACTGTTCCTCCCGCTGACATCACCGATGGGGCACTGTTCCTCCTACTGACATCAACAATGGGGCACTGTTCCTCCCACTGACATCAACGATGGGTCACTGTTCTTCCCACTGACATCAACGATGGGGCACTGTTCCTCCTACTGACATCAACGATGGGGCACTGTTCTTCCCACTGACATCAACGATGGGGCACTGGTCTTCCCACTGACATTGATAGGGCACTGTTCTTCCCACTGACATCAACGATGGGGCACTGTTCTTCCCACTGACATCAACGATTGGGCACTGTTCTTCCCACTGACATCAACGATAGGGCACTGTTCCGCCCACTGACATCAACGATGGGGCACTGTTCCGCCCACTGACATCAACGATGGGGCACTGTTCTCACTGACCCCAATCATAAGCGGTATTCCTCTCCTTGACATCAACAATGGTGCACCGTTCCTTTCCCTGAACCCAGCAATAGGGACACCAATGAGGGAACACTATTTTTTTTAAATTAACACTAATTGTTATGCTAGTCCTCCCATTAACACAAACAATGAGGCACTATTCCTTCTATTAATACTAAGGATGGGGTACTATTCTACTGACACCAAGAATAGGGCACTATTCCTCCCACTGACACTAACGAGGGGGCATTATTGCTCCCACCAACAACAACAATGGAACACTATTTCTCCCACTGACACTAACGATGGGGCATTATTTCTCCCACCAACGTAAATGATGGGGCACTGTTCCTCCCAATAAAACCAACAATGGGGTACTATTCCTCTTTTTAATACTATGAATGTGGTACTATTCCACTGACACCAACAATAGGGCACTATTCCTCCCATTGACACCAACAATGGGGCACTATTTCTCACACTGACAACAGTTATGAGACACTATTCCACCCATTGACGCCAATGATAGGGCACTATTCCACCCATTGACACCAATGACGGTACACTATTTTTCCCACTAATACCAAAGATTGGGCACTATTCCTCCCAACAACACCAATGATAGGGTACTATTTCTCCCACTGATACTAACCATGGGGCATTATTCCTCCCATTGACACCGATAATGGGGAAATATTCCTCCTTCTGACTCAAACAATGGGGCACTGTTCCTCCCTTTGACACTAATGATGGGCCCCTATTCACCCCGCTGACATCAACAGCGTGGCACCAGTGTTAATTTTGAGATCAAATTTCGATTTAGTTTTAGTGAGTTTTTTGACTAAACTGCCATTTTAGTTTTAGACAGGTCTTTTTTTCAGTGGGAAAGCAGGAAAACAGAGTTTCGGCACCTCCAGCACTGAATGTACAGTATGTAATGGCAAGGGGTGCTGGGGTGTGCTGGAAGGTCTATTGATATTGGATGCTGGGGGATCTATTGTCAATGGAGGGGATCCTTTTTTTGCACGGGGGTATATTGTTGCTGGTGGGGGGTCTTATGTTGCTGGGGGTTAATTGTTGCTGAGAGGGATCTACTGTTGAGGGTGAGGTCTTTTGTTGCTGGCTGCTGGAGGGTCTATTAATGCTGGTTGCTGGGACATTTGTTGTTGCTGCAGAGCGTCTAATGTTTCTGGGGTGGTATTTTGTTGTGGGTCCATTGTTGTGGGTGGCAGGGGGGGTCTAATGGGGTGGTACTAGGAGGTGAGTAGGAGTGAAAACAATGGATGGTGCTCAGAGGTGCTTAGGGGACAGAGACAAGGAGTGAGTTAGAGGGCAGAGTTCCTGCACTTAATTCTGAGAAAAAAAGCCCTGGTTTTAGTTGTATGTTAGTCATCTGAATTGTTTTAGTTTTAGTTGTATTTTAGTCAACTAAAATCTCCAGTACATTTTAGTTGACTAAAATATAATGGGTTTAGGGAAATTATAATACATTATTTAAAGCAGAAATCCAGGAATTTTTTTTTCATGACTGTGCAGTGGGGCTGTGCCAACATTGCGTGGGTTAAATGCTTACCTCGACCATCACTTACCCACCACCAAAACAGTAATGCTGAATGATGTTACATGCAGCATAACATTTTCTATGGCTTTTCCAGACCTTTTCATGTCTGTCACATGTGCTCAGGGTGAACCTGCTCTCATCTGTGAAAAGCACAGGGCTCCAGTGGTGGACCTGTCAATTCTAGTGTTCAATGGCAAATGCCAATCAAGCTCTATGGTGCTGGGCAGTGAGCACAGGGCCCACTAGAGGACATCGGGCCCTCAGGCCATCCTCATGAAGTCTGTTTCTGGTTGTTTGGCCAGAGACATTCACACCAGTGGCCTGCTGGAGGTCGTTTTGTAGGGCTTTGGCAGTGCTCATCCTGTTCCTCCTTGCACAAAGGAGCAGATATCGGTCCTGCTGATAGGTTAAGGACCTTCTATGACCCTGTCCAGCTCTCCTAGCGTAACTGCCTGTCGCCTGGAATCTCCTTCATGCTCTTGAGACTGTGCTGGGAGACACAGCAAACCTTTTGGCATGTATAGATGTTCCATCGTGGAGAAATTGGACTGCCTGTACAACCTCTGTAGGGTCCAGGTATCGCCTCATGCTACCAGTAGTGACACTGACCCTAGCCAAATGCTAAATTAGTGAAAAACAGTCAGAAAGGATGAGTAGGGAAAAAATTGTCATTGGCCTCCACCTGTACAACCAATCCTGTTTTGGGGGTCGTCTCATTGTTGCCCATATAGTGCACCTGTTGTTAATTTCATTAACACCAAAGCAGCTGAAACTGTTTAACAACCCCCTCTGCTACTAAACTGACCAGATCAATATCCCAGGAGTTTAACAGGATGCTATACTCTGATAAAAAAAAGCGGTCTTTTAATTGTTTTAAACAGTGTGTATATATACATTTTTTTTCTTTTTGTTGTACATTGTGAATGTATTCCTTTCTCTCTCAACACAGTTTGTGAGGGAATGTTAAACACAGAAATAATTTCATGAAAAATAGATTACAAAGCCAATAAGTATTGGATGTGTATATGGATTATTTTTGGAGAATAAGGCTGGCCGTACACTATAAAATTCTCTGTCCAATTTCTAAGAATAGTTGTGTTTAGTGTCACGCATGTTGCAGTGTGATTCACTGCATTTAATTGTTGCATGTTCCATATTCACCCAGTTCACATCAGTGCAGTAAATTGTTGTGAACTGGGCTCCTGCATGAGAAACAATGGCTTTCGCTTGTTATTGTGTTAGGCCTGTGTTGACTAAGGCAGGCCATAGACGGGCCGTTTATCGGCCAAATTTTTGGCCAATAAACAAAAAATTGGTCGGTCCCTTTGCCGTTGCTGCCACCAATGTCCACGAAAAACGGCCGTTTTTCATGGATTTTCCAGTATGACCGATAAAAATAAATAAGGGGATCTGCGAAAAACTGCCAACGGTCTGGCCTCACTAATGGTGTGAATATCGGCCGATTTTTCATGGGGATGAAAATTCGGCTGATAAACGACCCATCTATGGCCTGCATTACACAGCCCAATGGTGTGAATAGATTCTCAATGCAGCATGTTCCATTTTTACCTGTCGCACGTGAGTGCAGCGAATTGACGTGTTCTGGGCATACAGAGCATGTTATTTTACCATGTGTCATTAAAAAGTGCCTGCATAAGTGTGCATGTGGCCCAAAGAGTCCTTTGTTACTTTCAATTATTACTATTATTATACAGGATTTATATAGCGCCTACAGTTTGCTCAGCACTTTACAATATAAAGGGAGACAATACAGCAACTATACAGTTCAATACAAGAGGGTTAGGAGGTCCCTGCTCCTTGGAGCTTATAATCTAAGAGGGAGGGGCTGGTGGTACAAAAGGTAATAACTGTGGGGGATGAACTGATAGGAGGAATAGAGGATTCTGTTATTAGCTGAAGGCAGGATAGGCTGCCCTGAAGAGATAGATGTTCAGAGATCGCCTAAAAGTCAGCAGCAGGGGCGGACTGACCATTTGGAAACTCGGGCACTGCCCGAGGGCCCGGGGTCAGTAGGGGGCCCCATGAGATGCCCCTGGTACCTTTTTCATAGGCTTTTTTGAGTTTGGGCAAGGACACAGGGGCCCCATGATCCCCTATTGCCCGGGGGCCCCATGAGTTGTCAGTCCACCCCTGATCAGCAGTGTAGGCGATAGTCGGATAGATTGGGGTAGACAGTTCCAGAGGATGGGGGAACCTCTGGAGAAGTCCTGGAGATGAGCATGGGAGAAGGAGACAAGGGAGATAGACAGCAGGAGGTCGTGGGAGGAGCAGAGAGAATGGTTTGGGTGATATTTGGAGACAAGATTGGTGATGTAATTTGGGACAGAGTTATAAATGGTTATTGTTAATAATGTTTTGAATTTTATTCGTTGGGCAATAGGAAGCCAGTAGAGGGATTGGCAGAGAGGGATGGCAGATATGGAAAGGTTAGTAAGGTGGATGAGTCTGGCAGCAGCATTCATGATATACTGAAGAGGGGATAGCCTGTGATGAGGTAGGCCAATGAGGAGGGAGTTACAATAGTCAAGGCGAGAGATAACAAGGGAGTGAATAAGTTGCTTAGTGGTTTCAAAAGTTAAGAACGGGCGTATCTTGGAGATGTTGCGGAGTTGAAGTCTACAAGATTTGGACAGTGATTGGATTTGGGGCTGAAAGGATAGATGGGAGTCTAGGATTACACCTAGCACCCTGGCATCAGGGGAGGGACTGATGGTTGTATTATTGATCTTGTTGGAGAAGTCAGGGGTGGGGGCATGGGCTGGAGGGAATAGTATATAGTATGAACTCCGTTTTGGAACTATTTAGTTTGAGGAAGTGGAGTGACATCCATGCTGACATGTCAGTTAGTAGGTTAGTAATGCAAAAGGAGACTGAAGCGGTGACGTGAGGAGTAGAAAGATAGATTTGTGTGCCATTAGCAGGGCCATGGATAAGGAGGTACCACTGGTCCTCTTGTAAGGGGCCCAGGCCAGCAGGGGGGCCCAGGCAGCTGGATGAATTGGATGTGTGCAGGGAGGGTGATTGGCATGGGGGGCAATTACTGGAACCGATCCCCTGTATGGCTCTCTTTGCAGCAGCTGAAAGTTGGCTTTTTCTCCTCTCCCTCCCACTGGCATTCAGCTGCTGCAGAGAGAGCAATACAGAGGATCGTTACAGTAATTCCCCCCCCCCCGGTAAACCCGTCACCCTCCCTGTGCACCATGCATTTCCCCCTGCTGCCCAGGCCCCCCTGTGTGCCCCCAGCCCTGCAGTGCTGCTGGCTTCCCTCCTCTTCCACTGACAGTTGCAAGCACACAATAGGATCCTTCAGGTTGGAGAGTGGGGAAAGGGTCCTGTAAATATGCAAGAGCACAATGAGTGATCAATACCAATCACCCACTGTGTTCATTAAAACTGAAGCACAGTAAACTTTTTTTTTTTGGGGGGGGGGGCTATCAGATTGGCTGTATGGGGCCCCGTGGTTTCTAACAGCAGCTCTGGTCATCATGATAGAGATGGTACTTAAAGCCATGGGGGTGACCAAGGGAGGAGGTGTAGATGGAGAAGAGAAGGGGTCCAAGGAGAGAACCTTTTGGGACCCCTACAGAAAAAGGAAGTGGAGAGGAGGAGACAGAGTTATAGGTAACGCAGAAGGAGCGCTGCGATAGGTAGAAGGAGAACCAGGAGAGAACAGAGTCTCGGAGGCCAAGAGAGTAGAGTTTTTTGAGGAGGAGAGGATGGTCAACAGTATCAGAGAGGTCAAGTAGTAAGAGTACGGCGTAGTGGCCATTGGTTTTAGCAGTTAGTAGATCATTACTGAGTTTTAGTAGGGCAGTTTCTGTGGAGTGTAGTGAGCAAAAGCCAGACTGTAAAGGGTCAGGAAGGTTGTTGTCGGTGAGGTGGGAGCTCAGGCGCTTGTAGACTAAGTGTTCTAGGAGTTTAGAAGTAAACGGCAGCAGGGAGATGGGTCTGAGGTTGTTTAGGTTGGTGGGGTCCAGGGAGGGCTTTTTAAGTATGGGAGTGATGTGTGCATGCTTTAGAGGGGAGGGGAAGGCACCAGTAGAGAGGGAGAGATTGAAGATGTGAGTGAGGGAGCATAGGACAGAAGAGGGTGACCGTAGGAGTTGTGAGGGGACAGGATCCAGGGGGCAGGTGGTGAGACGGGCTTCTGAGAAAACCTTAGTGATCTCTTCGATAAGTAGCAAGGTCAAAAGAGGAAAGTACCGAGGGAGGTTCAGTATAAGGTATGCTAAGTGGGATGGATGTCTTTGCAGTGGAGATGCCCTTACAAATTGCATCAATCTTGTTTTTGAAATGATTTGCAATCTCGTGAGCAGTGAGTGAGTTACTGGGTGGAGGTGGAGAAAGTAGAATTAAAAGTAGAGAAGAGATGACGAGGACTGGATGACAAGGTATTAATAATTCTAGTTAGAAATTGTGATTCTCCTTTTATTTTATATCACAAAAGTCTAGAGGACTTAGAAAAACTAGCAATCTGTAACAAAAACAAAACTAAATGTATCAAACCAACAATATGGCAGGGCTCACTACTGACGACATCTTGTATCCTTACAATGATTGGGTGAGACCCTAGCCACTGAGTTGCTGAGAGACGAAGCCTGTGGTTACGGGCATCATCCATTGGTTGACTCAGAAACCAATGGGACTCGTCTGCTAGAACACCATCTAACTCCAGGAGCGAGCTGTGTGGCCGCTTCTCCAGAGATTTCTCCTAGAGGCTGCTGGGAAGGAGGCAGGCAGGCAGGGGGGATTCGCTCCGCCGACTTCGTGTGAGGAGGACCGGACTTTTCCTAACAGAGGCGGCCGGGGTGTCCGCTGAGTGTGTGAACACTGCGAGTGTGGAGGGCATGGAAGAGATGAGGCCTAGCAGCGGACCCCAGGCCTTCCCGTCCATCTTCCCCCCGGGGCTGCATGCCATCTACGGCGAGTGTCGGCGGCTGTACCCGGAGCAGCCCAACCCCCTCCAGGTCACCGCTATAGTCAAGTACTGGTAAGGCCACACTGCCCTCCTCTCTGTCCTGTGTGTGTATATCGTGTCCTTTCCAGGACCGGGAGCCGCTCTGTGAGCCCTTCATACTGCGGGATGCTCTGTACTCACTACACCCGGACTCCGCACTTTACGGCTGCAGAGGCAACTTTACAATGGCTGGGATGGGTTGGGGCAGTGGGACCTCATTCTGCAGGAGAGTTCTGATTGTGTGCTGGTAAGTATGGTTACTGAGGACCCCCGTAGTGACCGGGGACCACCTCGCACTAACCGAGGACCCCCGTGGAGACTGGGGACCACCCCGCACCAACCGAGGACCCCTGTGGTGACCGGGGACCACCCCGCACCAACCGAGGACCCCCGTGGTGACCGGGGATTACCCGCACCAACCGAGGACCCCCGTGGAGACCGGGGACCACCCCGCATCAACCGAGGACCCCAATAGTGACTGGGGACCATCCCGCACCAGCCGGGGAGCCCCGTGGTGACTGGGGACCACCCCGCACCAACAGAGAACCCCCGTGGAGACGGGACCACCCTGCACCGAGGACCCCCGTAGAGATTGGGGACCAACCGAGGACCCCCGTGGTGACTTGGGACCTCCCCGCACCAACTGAGGACCCCCTTAGTGACTGGGGACCACCCCGCACCAATCGAGGACCCTTGTGGTGACTGGGGACCACCCCGCACCAGCCAGGGAGCCCTGTGGTGACTGGGGACCACCTCAAACCAACCGGGGACCTCCATGGTGACTGGGAACCCCCATAACAAAAAAATGCTGTTAAAACGTGGTTTAAACTGCCTGTCAAGTGATCGGAATGTGGATGTAGCCATATAGTAGTCATATCACCTGTTGTACAATTTCAGTTCATAAAATGGACACTTGCATGGACCTCTCTAGAATGTCCTTGTTTAAATGTAATTTATTTGATATGTTACCATTTTGATATGCTACTTCACTTCCTGGAGATTCTGAAACAGAAACAATGTCTAAGGGCTTGTTCAAGCCAGATGTGTTTGGATACATGCAGAAATGCCTTCCAAACATAATGGCAATAAAAATGAATGTTTCTCAATGAGTGTAGTTAAAAACAGAAAATGAACTTTGTCTTCTCTTTACGTTTTTCTTTGCATTCTGGTGTGATCCAGCCCTATATTTTATCCACTTCAAGTCCGGATGCTTTCATCCCCTTCCAGTCCAGTCCAGGCCAATTTTCAGCTTTCAGCACGATCACACTTTGAGTGACAATTACTCAGTCATGCAACACTGTAGCCATATGAAATTTTTATTCTGTTTTAGACCGAACTTTCTTTTGGTGGTATTTGATCACCACTGGGTTTTTTATTTTTTGCTATATAAATGGAAAAAATACAGAAAATTAAAAAAAAAAACATTTTTTTGTTATAAAATTTTGAAACTAGATAATTTTTCTTCTTAAATTTAGGCCAAAATGTATTCTGCTACATTTTTGGGATAACAATAACCCAAAGCAGTTTATAATATTTAGTCTGTGTGAAAGTATAGAGTCTACAAACTATGGGATATATATTTGAAAATTGATCTGTTGATATCCTAAAATACCAGACGCTGGTATGGCATATGGCAGTGAATATGACGCTGGTATGGGGTATGATGATGATCAGGACATTAGCCTCATGTATGGCGGTGATCAGGACGCCGGTATGGCAGTAGCCAGGATGCTGTTTTGGGGTATGGGGTAGCCAGGATGCTGTTTTGGGGTAGGGGGTGATCAGGATGCTGGTATAGGGATGGGGTTTGGATGCTGGTGTGGGATGGGGTATATCAGGGCTGGCATGGCGGTGGTCAGGACGCTGGCATGCTGGTGGTGGGTCGCTGGCATGGGGGTGGTCAGGGTGCTGGCATGGGGTGGTCAGGACACTGGCATGGGGGTGGTCAGGACGCTGGCATGGCGGTGGTCAGGAAGCTGATATGGCGGTGGTCAGGATGCTGGTGGGGCATGGCGGTGATCAGGATGCTGGTGTGGTGGTCATGGGGGATGGCGGTGGTCAGGATGCTGGTGTGGGGCATGGCGGTGATCAGGATGCTGGTGTGGGTCATGGGGGTGGTCAGGACGCTGGCATGGTGGTGGTCAGGATTCTGGTGTGGGGCATGGCGGTGATCACGGTGTTGGTTTCAGGTATGGCGGTGTCTTGTGTGCACTGGGACAGGTGATAGGGACTGGTTGCATTATTTATTATGGGCATTGTGGGGCAGTGATCTGGGACACTAAACTGGGACACTGTGGTGGCTGGCAAGGCAGTGCGTGATTGCACAAGTGGCCTGACAGGCTGCTGTACACTCACACTGCAGGATCGCTTCTGTCTGCGCTCTCACTGAGATAAGAGAGAAGTGATCTCTATTTTCAGTTTAATTGTTTACTATGTGACTTCTGTGATTGGTCACAGCAGTCACACATGGTAAAACATCACGTGAGCCGCGCACGAGCCATCGATGAGGGCTGACATTCAGGAACATCGGCACTGCTTCCTGTCTGCCATCGATGTAGAATGGGCGGACCGAAGAGGTTAAAGTGGTTCTAAAGGCAGAAGGTTTTTTTTTTTTTAACATTTAAAGCGAAGCTCCAGTCATTTTTGTAGAAATGAAGTCAGCAGCTACAAAAACTATAGCTGCTGACTTTTCATAAACAGACGCTTACCTTTCCCCAGATCCAGCGGTGTCCTCACCTGAGGGGTGCAAGGGACCGTCGTCTTAACTATGGGCATCCAGCTGTGACAGCTTGCGGGTTCACAGCCGGGTGCCCACTGCTCATGTTCGAGCCACGCTGCATGTTGTGATTGGTCTCGCAGTCTTCAGAAGACTGCAGGGAGGGAGGGGCGAAGGAAAACTTCTGTTCGGGTTGCCTAGGTGATCCGAGTGGAAGTGGGAGCAGGTACCTGTCAAGATACATATTATTATGTTACTGAGTTTGGTGCTGTCAGTCTAACACTAATTGCTCACTGACAGGCAAAGAGAGCAAAGTGTGTTGTTCCTCATCATTGTGAAATCGGAGGGTTGGAAACAGGTGACTAACCTGCCAAATATTTTGTAACAGTTCAGTCTTCTGATGTAACTTAAACAGTCCACACACTTTATATACCAATAGTGTATTTAGCCTTTTGCCTGCAGCTTAGTTTAAATATAATTGTATTTCAGTGATGCGCCTTTTTTCTTTAACTCGGTGCTTTTACCAAGTGCTGCAGCATGTTGGAACGTACTGTGAATAAATGCTACATCTTTTTCAGTGCACGCCAAAGCAGCCTGTTGGTGTGAATTGAAGCCATAGGACATAAGGCTGTTTCCCTCATCTCTGTGTTGGGAAATGCACCACAACAGTGATAATGTGAATGAGCCTTTAAGTTGGTTGCTGTGTTTGCAGACGTCATCAGAATAAAGGACCATGTGCACATGTTTGATTTCTCGCTGTATGTGGCCACCAGTAATGGCTTTCATCTTCCTTTAGCATTCTGTAGATTTGCTACTAGAGACGCTCAGTCTCAAAGAAGTGTGTTTTGTTTTTTTTTAATACTTCATACTTACCTAGGTGGATGCAGCATTGGTCCCCTGCCGGCTCTAAGGGTGAGAACTCGGTGATCACAACGACCGCTGAGTTCTCACAGCCTTTTTGGGCAGAGACTGGTGGCTGTCAGTCACCACTGTCTTCTCCCCCCCCCCCCCCCCACGCTCCTTGGAGCGCTGGGCTGTGGAGGGAGTGGCTGGCTCAGGCTCTCGGCGGATCGCGAAGAGGCTTAGCCAGGTGCTCCTTCAGACTCTGGGGTGAATCCCAACTTTAAAGTCGGGATAATTCCCCAGCTTGGGCCAGCTGTGTGACGTCAGCTGACAGAGGGCTTCAGCCCGCTGTCAGCTTAAAATGGGTCACAGGAGTGCAAAATGAACTGCACTTCTCCACAGGGGATGTACAACAAAAAGAGCTTTGGCTGTACTTCTCCTTTTTAAAGCAAAAAAAACCATTGTCAAATAAAATGAACAGATATGATGTGTATAGAATGCACAGAAAACACAGCGCTCCTTACAGTATTGTATAAACAGAAAAAAAGGAGAGAAAAGTGCCACTACCTAAGTGTAGCATTTATTAAAACATGTTGGTGAAATGAAAAACAATAAATATGCACTCACATTTTAAAAGACATTAAAAGGCGTATCAATAAGTCTCCAGCAGGTGACCAGGGGAACACCAGGAAGAGCCAGCAGGGTGTATATTACATGGATGAGAACCACTGTGGACAGCAGGGAAGTGTTTCAGGCCCACAAAATGGCTGTGATGATATCATGCGTAATGTTGATGGGCGTGGTTATGCATATCGGGGTGTGGCCCTCAGAGGTTTTGATGAAGAGCCCCTATACTCTCCTCTGGTGGCCTGTGTCTCTTACCTCCCTTTCATTCTAGTACATCAGCCTCCAACAGTGTGGCATTCAGAACTTCTGGGAGTGTCAGATGTTTGTGTTCCCCTCTATGTGCTGCTGTTCCTTCTTCCACCCTCTACAATAATGCTGTGTCTAGTGACTTGAGAGTCAGAAGAAAGAGCCACAGCTGGAGGGGCACAGACATTTCACATTCTGGAATTCTAGGAAGCCAAAGACACTGACAGAAGCCTCCATACTGAAAGACAGTAGCTAGTGAATATAGAGGTCCTGCTCATACAGGGTACTATGGGTATGATGTAAGTTATTAAAGGCAAAGACTGATGTGTCTGATGTATCATGTGACCAGCTTTTTTGTTAAGTGTTAGGTAATAACCTTGTTTAATCTATTTGTGACAACTGTTGTTAGGGCTTGAAATTGAAGTGCTCTCTTCTTTGTCACTACAGATTAACATTATTATGATGATTAAGCAATAATAAAGTATAAGAAAACACTACTACTACTTTAGGTTGTGTAATAGTTTTTGTAGGTTGCCTTGTTTGTTTTGCCTCTTAAGTCTGATCATGCAGGAACAGGATTATGCATTTAACTGTAAATGTGTAGCATGGGGCTGTACATGATTACAATGGGTACTCTAACCCAGTAATATCCGCCTCTTGGTGTGAATTTGTTTCACTTTGGAACTGCTTAAAATTGGTTGCATAGGTATCCCTGAACTGTGCACCAATTTGTCTGTAGTGCACACAACTCCTAGGTGGCCGATGCCTTTACATGACTGGTACTGTAATGCCATGAAATAAAAATAATTCAAAATGATTCACTTTTGATTGCTCTAGGATGAAACTTGGAGGAACAGTATAGATGTCCCTCCTAGTGGAATTGGTGGTTTGGAGAACCTGGCTGTTTGCTTACAGAGCTTTTTCTATTGGGTTCCAAGGATATAAAGAATCACTTGAGTTGTGCAATGTACCACAGTGTGCCTAAAACAGAAATTTATAATTTGGGTCGCCTGCCACAAGGTATTCATTTAATTGATCTATCTTTTATTTTCCTTTTTAGGTTGGGTGGACCTGACCCCCTAGATTATGTGAGCATGTACAGAAACCTTGGCAATTCATCACTTGGTGTTCCTGAGCACTGGCATTACGTGAGTTTTGGGCTGAGCGATTTGTATGGAGACAACAGAGTACATGAGTAAGTTTTTTTTGTTTGTTTTTTTTTTTTTTCTATGTGTTTCAGTGACATTTACACCACTGTCATCCTTTTATTTGTCCACTTTTTGGTAAAGGGTTTTGAATAGTCAGTTGACATCCTGGTGGGTTGGATGACCTCTTCGAGTTGTGGAGTGAAGCTTTGGAATGTTGTCACACAATTATTAAGCCGGGTAGGACTCTGCAAACATTTGTTTAGTAAACTCTTACAACCTGTCTGTGTATGGAGGAACTTCTGCAGAGATGGAAAGCGTCAAACTTGACAGAAGCATTTTGTTTGGGAATTATGTCTCTTAGTTGCACACCTCATCTCTCAATGTTTGCTTCCTGTTGAAATCGCATTCTCTTCTTTGCGGTGCAGTTTGCATTTATGCATTTTTTTTTTTTTAGTGACGCAAATCGCTCCGCAAAGTATTGGTACTCAGTATCGGCGAGTGCTTGACTGAAAGTATCAGTACTCTTATTCGCCATTAAAAAAATGGGTATCAGTGCATCTCTGGTTTATACCACAAATCCAGTAGCCTTACAGCTTAGTGAGGGACATAGTTCGCTTGAGCCAAGCTGGCCCAGATGAACTATGTAAAGGTGGAGATCAGCTTTAAGGAAAGGCATACACTTTCTGCAGCGTTCAAAAAATGCTCCAGGTTGTAAAGCTGTATAAATCGGGGGCAGCATTTCTTTTCTGTTCTCCTATACCAAAGGTCTTTTCGGGCTTTCTCTGCCATCTTGGCACTTTTCAGGCATCCAGTTACTGATGAAATCTCCATAGATGTGTGTGGAACCAAAATCTAATTCTGGCTACCTGCAGAGAAGCATGCTAACTGCTGAAGTTTATATGTGACGATCTGTGAGTCTGGGTTATATTTGGCTCTGGTTTATCCAGCTTTTACAAGCATGATTTCTTCTTGAGCAGTACATGTTATGATTTGTAATTTGATAGTAGTGCAAAAACTCAAATACTTTCCAAAAGTGCTCCTCTCTAGAGTAGTAGTGGCAATCTGTGGTGGAAACTATCAAGAATTATATGAGGATGAGTTTTTTTCTGTCTTTGAAGGAGCAATTGAAGACCCCTACCACAGTCATATGGATACACAAGGCCAGTTTAAAGAGAAACTAACTTGCTAGCTTGTTTTTGGATTGTGGAAGAAAATCTTGCAGACATGGGGGTTGATTTAGAAAATGGACTGTTTGATTTCAAGCGACTTTGCATGGGAATTTTTCCCCAGAACTTAGTGAATATGGGGAAGCTTGGCTGCATTTCCATCATCCAGCCGTGATTGGGTATTCTTTGCAAAGTGAAATTCCATCACATCCACTAAGTTCTGGGGAATGTTCCCATGCAATGTATCATTTCCCTAACAAAGTGCCTATTTGCCTTCCACTCCACAATCCACTCTACAGATGGCATCCTTGATAGCAACTCAAAATCTCAATGCTAAAGGCAAGCCTTTAAGTTTAAAGGATATGTTCACCTTTAGCAATATTTTACATGCTACACCCATATTCAGGGAGTAAAGTACCTGCCGACACCCTGACCTGATTCTCCCTCCCCCCTTCTTCCCGCACCCACTGTCACAATTCAGAAACGGCATGGCTATGCAGGGCTTTACCCACACAGCCGCATCATTCATTCACAGTGTAGTTGCAGGGAAAAAAATTGTATCATATATGGCTTGTTTTATACACCTGCCACAGACATACTATTGTCTTTCATTTTTTATATCACCCTTAACACCACACATGTCTAATTTTTTTTTTTTTTTGGAGTATTTTTGCCACTGAGCTTGCACACAAATGTTAAAGAACTCCGAAATGGTATTAAAATCTGTATAATAGCTATGTGTTGATAGTTGATAGTTTTTATTAAAAGTGCACACTTTGTTTACAACTCACCATTTTCAAAATCTGACATTTCTAATGCAGCTTTTTCTTCGATTCTCGAGCTCTGGGAGGAGGTATCTCAAAAGCGGTGATATCACTTCCTGTTTGTGTTTGTCACTGCTCACTGAGACTACAAATCCCATCATGTCCTGGGAATTAGAGTCTTGCGTAGGCGGGACCATGGATGTGTATGTGGCTGATCAGTAGTGTTCTACCTATAGGACACCACCCACATTATGACACCCTCTTTTTTTTCCTTTCCCTTTTTGTGTGCGACTACACTGTACGTTCTCCCCCCAGTATTACATATGAATGTGATGAGATTTGCACAACCAGCAGGCACTGAGACTCCTGGTCTATCAGTGAAAGTGTTAAGTTTTAGGAGGTGGAACACACCTGGAACCTCCTGGCCCAACAATCTTAAAGAGAAACTTTAGCTTTTTCCCCCTTCTGCTTCCCTTTATTCAGCACAGTAAACATACTCGCTAAGTCTGTGGATCCAGAGTTGAGCTGCAGGGAGCCTCCTCTCTGCTGCATGGGTCTGTCGCTTCCATGTTCCCTGTGACAGCTGCCGGCTCTTCCAAGTGCAGGTGCCGTTAGACCTGCCCCCTCCTCACTCAATGGGGTTGTATGTCATTCGTCCCAGAAGGCACCACGTCATTTGCCTATGCAAATTCCAGGAGGGGCTGGACAAGTGTTTTGAACTAAAAAGGAAAAAGGAAAAAAACAAAACAAAAAACGATAGCATGGGGGGGGGGGGGGGTGGGGGCAGTTGAAATGGACAGCTGGAGAGTGCTGCAGGCAGGTGAAGGACTGCTTTAACTATGCTACACAGAGGGCAGATTATACTGAGCAGCCTGAGACTACCAGTCTGCCCACTGAGCAGCGACATACTTTCATTACTGCTTGCTTTACAAAAGACTGCAGTGGGGAATGTACAAGACTGGTGCCCAGGGGGAAATTGGGCATATCAGCCACTGGTCTTGTAAACCGGATATGAGAGGGATAGACCTTTCTAGTTTTCTCACTGCAAGGGGACTATGTACAGTAACGTCAACATTACTGAAAGGTATGGAATCACACGTGTGTTTCTATTATAATTTCAGCTATAAATTTCCTCCATAAGTAAATGATGTGAAGTGCTTTTATGAGTAAATCATATTGTAATGATAGATCTAAGGCAGTGCTCTTCATCCTCCATGTAGGGCTCATGTTTTGTTATTCTGTTCTGGCCGTTTACATATCTTTTTGCATTTGGTCCCTTCATTGGATTGTGCACATTCCTCTCTATCCATGTGGCTGTTTTGTGGTATGACATCTGGAGGGATCTTTCCCATTGTCTTGGTAATTTAGTTCAATTAGTCAAACCTATTTCCAACATTTCAATTTTAGGAACACTTTAATGTAAACAAATGTTCAGATTAAGCATAAATGAAATAATTTACACACTACGTGTGATTTTTACAAAACACAAACAAAAAGTGATGCCAGAACGGTAACTGATTTGTCAGTAAGTAAACATTTTGTAAATCTGTTTTTTAGGAACTGCCATCCTATGTCCTGTATATAAATGTATTTTTTTTCTTAATTTTGGTGCAGATTTATTATGCAGGTGGGCAGTAAACTGGCTTAGGTCATACTAGGGGATATTAACTAAAAAAACCTTAAACACTTTAAATTTGCTTTCATTAATATCATCTGTTACTGTGAATGACTACTATAATTGTGTATGCTATGTTCTATCATTATTTTCATGAAAACAGAAATCTATTTCTATTATTAAATTACATTTGCTGCTTTTCCAGATCACATAGCTTGATTATCATCTGGCCTCCCTTGTAGTTTCTGGACTGTGTTTGGGCTCCTTGTACATGTTCCCCTCAAGTTGGCAGCAATGCAGCCATGTCAGCGGATCCATCTGCTGGTCTGCCAAGTGTTGGATAGTGTTTTGAGGCTCTGCAGGGGATTGTATGAGAGGAATTGGCTACTCCTAGGTCTTTTATTCACACAGGCTATGTACTACTCAATGTACATCTCGCTCTTCAGGAGCCCTATAATTTAGTACCTGTTAGCGCTGCTTTTTTTTATTTTGTTTGATGAAAATAATAATTTCTATATACTGACTTGGAAGTTATTTTATATTATACCTAACAATCATAAAAAGTTCCCTAAGCACCACTTGCAGTTAAAATGGCCATACATACAATATTAAGGGAAATACAAATGACCTTAAAACAATTGTAACATTTCAAAAGAGATAAAGGTTATACATTTTTTTACAAGTACAGGGAAATGCCAGTTAATCCCATCAGAAAGTTGTGTTCCTAACGTCCACTCTGGATTTCATATGGGGTGGCAGGAGGTAGTTTTTTTGTTTTTTTTTTTTTTTGTAATTCCTGGAGTTAGACTTTATCTGCATTACTTTGTTAGGATATTTTTATTTAAACAGTTTATTTAAAAATGTTTTCACACATGATTCGTACATTTTTCTAATGTTAAAAATGTATAATCTTTTGTGGGGGAAACAAATTCTAAATAAGCCCCTAAAATGTATCTCCAGCCAAAACTTTTTTGTGTCATGGTTACGGCAGGGAATGATTAAAACCTCTGTCGGGTGTTCATTGCAGTCTGTGTGTCCTGGTTAGTTGTGGAGAACACCACCTTCTTTCTTTTTTTTTTTTTTTTTTTTTTTTTTTTTTCTGCATTTTTTTGAAAGCCTATTGCTATATCTGCAACATATTGCCTCATGCCTCCTGCTGTGTGTTTTTTTTATATTAAAATACAAAAAAGGGAAAAATAACAGTATATGTTCCAGCAGACCAGTTCAAGAGTAGTGACCTGTTTAAACCGCCTGTCCTGACAATCCTCGGCTGCTGCTCTGTATAATAAACATTGTGTTATTGAAAGGGTATTGAAAGCACAGTATAATACAGTTGCATGCTGCTTCTAATATGTGTTTTCTACACGTGTACTCGATAATATAGATCAGTCTCCCAGCTACTGATATGCTTCCCTCTGGGGTTACTTCTACTTTGAGGCTCCGCGCACACTAGTGTATTTTTGTTTGTTTTTTTTGTAGCATTTAGGAGCGTTGGCGTTTTA